GTTCGTCCCATTCCTAAAGACCGAACCAGAATTAATGCCTGGGGCGGTTTCTGTATTAAAGGAAAGACCAGTCTCTTCGCGAAATTATGACCGGTCAATTTTACGTCGATATCATAAGAAAACATTTTCCTGAAGCTAACAAGATGCTCGGTAAGAAGTGGCGACTCCAACAGGATAACGATCCGAAACATACGAGTAGATTAGCCAAAGAATTTCTTCAAAACAATGTTTCGACCGTTATGGACTGGCCCACAATCAGTCCTATCGAAAACTTTACCTTTCGGATGCTATATAACTAAAAATAGATGTCCAAAGACTTTGTAACACACTGTAGACCAATCAAACAGCGGGGATAAAAGAGTTGAATGAACTTAGTTTTTTTAGCCTTCCAAATGCAACAGAAGCCATTCCTCACTAAATATGAAATAAGAACTTGTTTATAGACATAATAATCACAATTTGTAATCATGCTTACCTGGAAATGTAAATATCATTTTTTCTTTTCCCATATTAATATGGAGGGACTACAACAGTAACCTCCACTGTATGTTCCTCCAGTGCCCAGGGTTTGCCATTGATCCAGGTACTGCTGGAAGTTTGGATTTCTCAGCACCCTTTCAGGGTAAAAGCCTACCAATTGTTATTGTCATACTAATATTGTTATCAAGAGAAAATTCATGTCAACATCAAAACAAATAATAAAATATGTGTAACCTTATATGATCTTGTAAGTCAATTCCAATGTCCACATTCTTTGTGATCATCAAAGACAATTGTACTAACTTCATCACTTTCCATTTGTTACTACTATAATGTTCCTTACCTATGCATTGGAACCCTAATATTTTTATATCAGCACTTAATTCTGTAGATGAATTAAAACAGTCTTTTATAAAGACTCCAACATGGATCAGATCATTACAATTTTGTTTTTTTTTTTCTGAAGGTGAACTTTTGATATTGACGAATAATCAAGAAACATTGTTCTCTCTTATTTTAAGATTGTCAATAGAGTCCTCATCCTTGAAGGATAATTCATCTGGAATATCATTAATTATTATCAGGTAATCCTCCACCCCTTCTTCAATAAATGAATATCCATCAGCAATGAATGTAATTTTGGACTACTTGGCGTGGGAGAAGTGTGCTCGTCTTCTTGTTCTTGTCTTTTTGAAATCCTATCCTCATTATAATCAACCCTTGTCTCTTTCTTAGTGAATAAGGCTTGCTATCGTTATCTGTAACTGACTCTTCCTAGAGTATATCAAATAAATTTGATGATGAATTAGATGGGTCACTTTTTACCTAATGACGTTAACAATGTAATTCATACCAGCTCCTTATTAACATTTTTTATAATGTTTTCAATGCCTTCTTCAGTCCTCTTTGCTATAACATAAACACGAGCTATTTTTACCTGTAATTCAGAACAATAATTAGCACACCATTTAACAATATCGAAGTAAGTAAAAATTATTGACCTAGTCCAACTTTAGTCTTTGGCATGGTCTATATCCAGAGATTCACATTCAACTTCATTCCAGAATCTATCGATATCCACATTCTTGTTTCGATGGTTCTATAGGGTTAATATAATTTGTTAGCATCTTGTCCTAAGATAGAAAGACTGCCGGCAAAGCAGACCACAACGAACGCCGTAAGGTCAGGTGGAACGCACGCACCTGTCATAGTTGTGTGAGTGTTACCCCTTCTCAGGACTGCTGGAGGCCCCCACCTCTACAAAACTTGTAGACCATAACGGGATCTAACGAACGCCATAAAGTGAGCGCTCACCGTAGCCGTGGAACTTAACAGGGTCCTCCATAATGCCTGCCAGTGATCAAAATGAAATGAAAATGATACTCGCCTCAAAGACATCAAGTAAATTTTGAGCTTTAGATCCGACCCATTTTTCACCAGGTATTCCAGGCACTTGTGGAGTCTTTGTGCCTCTAGGCGAAAATTGCTTGTAAAATCATCTTGGCTTTTATGATGCTGGTAGTAATCAAGAAATCGGGTATTTTTCTGGTGTCATTGTCTACGCGTTAAATAATTACCAAGCCGCTTGACATTTAAGGCAAATCTGATAGTTACACATCGGAGTTTGAACACATCAATCGATTATCGCGAACCTACTATTATGATAGACACATGATGTAAAGATTTTTTGCAAAGTTGATGCAAAATGTAGTGGATAAAACTTTATTAATTATTTTATGTATGATGCTATCAAAGAGGGAGGGAGTACGCGGATCCTAGGCCATTTAGTGCGAGTCCCAGCATCATATTATTTCTTTGCTCGTTACAAGATATTATCTTGGAAGGTTTGTTCCATTGATGATGCCTTTATTTTGTCATTGTTTTTGATTAATAAGTCTCTGTTTGCATAAGGCACGCTCTCGCAAGAACACAAAGATGTTTCATGAGCTAATTGGAAAGCGCCTCCCCAACTTCGGGATAGAAAATTTTTTTCACCAAAAAAACTTGTAAATCCAAGTTCTTAGGAAGATTGTAATCTGTGTGTAAATAGTATTTGAACATTGATTTGTAGTAAAGTGTGTTGTTTACGGGATTTTTACTTTCACCGCAAGATATTTGAACAAGTGGGCTTGTGAAGAATAAGAATCTACTGACTTGATGGTTCAAATGATATATATAGGATCACCTCTATATGAATTATAAATAGGTTATTTGTCATGAATGATTATGTTAGCTTTGTTTACGCAGATTAGATCGGTCACCTGCATCCAACTAAGACATTACAATTAACATGTGTCAATTATTTTTAAGCGACTACGCCACTGTGGATAGTATACGTTAACACTATCCATTTAATAAATTAGAACACCGCTCTTTCTATGCTGAACCATAAACCACAGGTTTTTTATAACCTATGTTTATTTAAACGTGGGTTTTTTCTAGAAGAGCCGATCTGATGAATCAGATAATAATAAGCGAGTCAGCGGCCTCCGCAGTCGCGTGATACATTTTCCGTGTCAGTTGCACTGTGACGGAAAATCCGTGTGTCAGCACAAACGCTATAATTAATTTAGAATTTTATTTGTTCTTGTAAAATCACACGATTTATTCGGTTAATTTCGTGACGAATTTTCCGTGTCAGAAAAAGATATATAAGTAGCTCATATCCTATTGTCAAAATACTCATGCTTGATACGTTTGATCGTTGAAATCTTTATCCAAGAAATATTAAATAAACGATTTTGAAATCAATTTACATATTAATTAGTGGAACGGGAGCTCACAATTAATTATTGAAACTTAATTATTGAAACAATATTATTGTTTAATTAGTTAGTGAAGAACAAGTGACGTTTACCCGACTAGTCGAAATACCAAATCGAAGATTCGCCTTGTTTAATTTAGAATAATTAATTCCCTTTTGATTCTGTGGTATAATAGTTGTTTTTGTTATGATACTAGTATGGACGGTAGGTACATCGTATAGGGAGGAAGTGAGAAGCGCGCATTATAATTGATTAAAATACAGTAGTGGCGGAAAATAATGAGAATTTTAAATTTTTTATTACTCAACAAATTCGTATTCGTTTTACATAAAATTTTATCTGCACATAAGTAATAATGTAAATTTATAAAATAAAAACTTAATGGTCAATTGTTAAGCCCCCTTTTTCAATAACAGCCTCTAAACGCTTTTTCATTCCAGAACATAATTCGATAGAATAGATTTATCGATATTATCCCATTCTAGTCGGATAATCAGTAAAAAATCATCTAGTCCAATTGATTTTTTTTGTAAAATACGTTGATTTACCCTCTTTTCTACCCTTTTCTTTATTATCGCCCATAAGTTTTCTATAGGTGAGTAAGAAGGCCAATCAAGAACTTTTGGGCATTTTTCTTTAAAAAGCTCCTTTGTTAACTTGGCGGTGCGCGATAGCCGAGGTTATAAAGGTTCTCACGGACTGTTCTTGGCGCAATATTAAGGTTTGGGTAGGGTTGGTTAAGCACATGAGCAATTTCTTTACTGCTAGCACATTCTTGAACTTGCTAATTTTCCAAGATGTATGCGCTTTTCCGCAGTAAGTTTTTTTGGTCTTCCTGGGCGGGATTTCGGTTTCAGGGAAGCTGCTATTGAAAGTTTTTTGATATATTGTATAAAGTAGATATGGGAACATGTGTTATATATATTATGAAGCTGAGATACATCATGAATTCCACTGTCCCACAAATTCTCTACAATTGATCGTTTTTGGGTCAAAGTAAGTTGCTTAGGCATTTTTAACAAAAAAAATCATGAAAGTAAACAAAGAACGCGTTGTAGGTTCAAATATTATTTTTATTTATACATTTGTTAACTGGTGTAACTTTCTATATATGATTTTGCCATAATAAATAAAACAGGGAGCGCGTAAGTATTAGATAAAGTGATTGCATAAAATTCTCATTATTTTCCGCCACTACTGTAAGTCACTTGTAGAATTTAATTCAGTCACAAAGCAATCACCGGAATAAGGGCGGTGAGCTGAAGCTAAGTTAGAATATCCCTCTGTCGGCAAACACGCCTATGCGAAAGATATCGCTCCTCCACAACCCAGACTGCTGACCACAACAGAAGATTTCAAGTATGATTTGACTAGGTCTCTTGCCATGTGTGATAGAGGAATGTAGATGTGGTTGATTTTTCTAAGGCAAAATATAAGCGCGAGTCGTGTTATTTTTATAATAAGCTCATTAAGTGCTGATCAGAGTTCTTACTGATTATAAACATGTTAGGGTTACGGATTCTGAAACATTGATGCGCCGATTAAACAGTCTATACAAAATGAACAAACGCACCATCTGTCTCCTAACGACCGCTCTCTAATAAATTTATTCGTGATTCATTTTATTCTCTAATGCGGTAATATCAGATTGTAGCACGAACCAGAATTCTCGTATTTTATTGTCATTCTTACTCAAGCAGTTATAAATATAAAAAATCATGGATATTTTGGCCCGATTATTGATAAATAATTATTAACAATAATAAAAGAGTGGCTATTTGCTTATGCTTCTATCTTATTTTTTTAACTTGGTTCATCATAAGTTGGCATTTATTGGTTTTTATTTTTCATTCTTCTTGGTAAATTTCGTAAGTGATTTTTTCTTTATCTAGATATTCCTGGAGTGTTTGGGTATCATTGATTTTAAAAACATAAGGCGCAATTTT